TCATGTGTTTCTTGTAATAACATTACTCTTGTGATTGTTTTTTGACGATTTGTGTAATTTGTATTTCATTTAATTAGCATGGGAGGATTTGAGAATATGTTAATGGGCATGTGTTAGGTAAACTGTTGTCATGCATTTGTGAAAATTTGTGTTCTTGAAGAAAATATGGAGCATGTTTGATATTGTTTCTGAGAATGCTAATAACCCGTAACAACCTGTAACCCGACCCGAAACCAAATGGGTTGGGTCAATATTTGACCCGAAATTAGCCTAGCAAACACGACCCGACCCATAACCGAAGGTCTCGACCCGAAATTACCCAACCCGACTCGATTGCAGGTCTACACACAAAGAAACAACTAAAGCAGTTATACCAAGTCCAGTTATGGCAATTATTTGAAAACAAATAATTTATTACAAAACCACCGGGTGGGGTGGCGGTTTGCACCCAAACCGCTCCGGCCCCATGCGGTCAACAAAATCGCCTCTACCCGTGCAGTTTTCATCGAAAACCGCGTCCCCATCCTGCGGTTTTCGAGAAAGGATGCTATTTTTGAATTTTTTGGGACTGGGTTCTATCTTTGGAATCTTTTGTTAAAAAAGTGCTATTTCTGGAAAAAGTCCAAAGATACATGGCGGGTACTTGGATGCTTTCTTAGTTTCAATAGAATAATCAAATTCACCCCACCTAGGCTCTTCTCTAATTGATTAGCATAGAGGAGAATGTGGCTTATTGTTAATATCTATGCTTATGAACTTATTATTAAAATGTTATGAGTTTCTCTACTTTAGACATGAATTGCAGGTATTTATTAACTTATCCAAATTCTGTGTACTCATGTTTTAAATAGTATATATCATACTTAACACATTTTTAGCTATTTTACAGCATGGAAACGCCATGAAAACCAAATCAGGCTATACCGCCATGGAAACCAACACATGCTACACCGCCATGAAATCAACTCAGGCTATACCGCCACTGGAATAAAAAAAAAAACAAATCAGGCCATATCGTTGTGGGAACAAATTACACAACCTGGCTTAACTGTAGTATAAGGGGAGCCATATCTGGGTAACCTCTCTATACTTGAACACAACCTTCAGTGCTTTGCTTGCTAGTTTAATTGAACCTTCACTACATTTGAACCGCTAGATAACAAGACTTTCACGGAGTAGTCATCACACCTAGGACCCGGGTTGACAATTAGAACTAAACCTGCTATACTACGCATTAGTAGGTGCTTACACTTGGCCACTTTCTAGTGTGACGGTAGAAGCGTGTCAAGTTTTTGGCGCCGTTGTCGGGGACGACTAGGTTCTTGAAGAAACGTGATTTCTGTTACTTTAGCATTTCCACTTCCGCATTGACTGTTTGCTATTTCCCTCTTGTGCCTTCACGGGTTTGCTTGCTTGGCTGTGTGCAGGTAGTGCATGACCCGTAGCCAGTCGGGAGGTTTATTACCGTTAGATCAGGAGCTAGAACGCACCTGTCACCAACTAAGGAGACAACAGCGAGCGAGACTGGCTACGAAGGAAGTGCGCATCGACGGCCACTTTAGCAGCGATTCCGAGGAGGAGTACGAGATGGACGGTGTGCAAAACCCACCCCAGGGGATGCCTCTCCAGGTTTCCCCAGTGAATCAGATCCTGGGGAACAACCCAGTTCCCCAAGCAGATAGGGTTCAACATCCACCACCGCCGCCGGGTCCTACCATGGAGTATTACTACACTCCACGGATCGCCGAGATCCGCCCCGTCATCTTCTATCCGCCCATTCCAGTGAACAACTTCGAGATCAAGCCATGCTGGATTCAACTGATTACATCTTCTATTCAGTTCCATGGCTTGAAGGATGAGGCAAGGGTGCACCCTTCCCGGTTCCTGCAGCTTACAAATGGATTCAAGATGAATGGTGTACCCGATGATGCAATCCGTCTCCACCTTTTCCCCCATTCTCTGGCGGGGCATGCAAAGAGGTGGTTATAGACTCAGCCCCCACTATCCATCACATCGTGGGACGACTTGGCCGACAAATTTGTGCACAGGTATTATCCGGCCTTGAAGACCACGGAAATTCAGCGGGAGATCACTCATTTCCGCTAGGAGCTAGATGAGTCCCTATGTGATGCTTGGGAGCGATACTCGGGATTCTTCTGGCAGTGTCCCCATCATGGCTTCATGATGCATTCACAGTGGGGAATTTCTACAGCGCTCTAACCCCAGAGAGCTAGAGGGTGATCGAGTCTTTATGCCCAGGAGGGGATATTCTCACTAAGACTCCACCCGAGCTGAATCAAATGATCAACACTCTGGCTGCCAAGGATCACTCTTGGGGGCAAAGCACCAGAAGCAGGAGTTCCCGGGACCGAGGAGTGCACGCCATGGAGGCCAGGTCCGGGCTAGAGCGGGAGGTGGCTGAGTTGGTCCAGACATTGAAGTAGCCCAACAGTCTTATTCCGGGCAGAGGGCTGGTCTGGCCTCCAGTTGCTCAATGTCAGTGGTGTGAGAGCTCAAACCATCTGGTGGAAGATTGTCAGGCTATGCGGGAGTCTTCTACACCCCAGGAACAGTTGGAATTCATCGCCAATGCTAGGCGCCTCGATCCTTACAGTGGTACATATAATGAAGGTTGGCGCCAACATCCCAACTTCTCGTGGAATAACAACAACACCACTAAACCACCTGGTTTCCCTCCATAGTAGCAGCCGTACAATCCCAGAAAGGGGCAATCATTCCAGCAGCCACAGTGCCAGTATGCCCAGCTACCAGCAACTCCAGCTCTAGATACCTAGATGACGCAATTGAAAAATATTTTGCAGGCATTCATGACTACTAGTTAGGCAAATTTCGCCATGATGGACCAGAACATAACTTCTCTGGAGGCAGGCCAAAGGAACCAGGGTGCTATACTGCAGGATCTCCAAAATCAGATTGGTGGCATTGCTCTCCAAAATAACACCAAAGCACCGGGGACTTTGCCTGCAACCACCATTCCAAATCCTCGCGAGCCTCACCAGCAGCTGGATGCCATCACTACCAGGAGTGGCAAGACCACATCTGCTGCTCCTGCCAGGCCAGGTAAGAAGAGCCACTACCTGCTTCAACACTTCCAGCTGACGATGCAGAGGTGGGGATGGAGAAAGAAGCACCTGCTCCCAAGCCACAACCAGTGGTTGAGGAGCATGTACCCCAGCTTCCCTTCCCCACTCGCCTACATAAAGACAAGCTGGAGACTGAGTTTGCCAAGTTCATGGCAATGTTGAAGCAGGTCAACATCAGCATGCCGTTCGTAGAGGCACTGTCGAATATGCCCAAGTACGCTAAATTTATTAAGGATCTCCTCACCAACAAGAAGAAACTTGGGGATCTCTCGACAGTGATGCTAATTGAGGAGTGTTCTGCTATCCCACGGAACAAGCTGCCCGAGAAGCGCAAAGACCCAAGGAGTTTTACTATCCCTCTTGTTATTGGCAGCATGCATGTAGGGAAGTCCTTGGCGGATTTAGGCGCTAGCATAAATTTCATGCCTTATAAATTTTTTAAGAAGCTAGGCCTAGGTGAACCTAGAGCTACTAGGATGAGCATTCAGTTAGCTGACCATTCTATTGTGCATCCTAGTGGGTATCATAGAGGATCTGCCTGTTAATGTAGGAGCATTCACATATCCTGTTGATTTTGTTATTCTGGATATAAATGACGATATGGATGTGCCTTTGATTTTGGGTAGACCATTTCTCGCCACCGCCAAGGCACTTATTGATGTGCATAGTGGTAAATTGATCTTGCGTGCTGGGGATGAACATGCTACTTTTTCTGTGTCTGAGAATGGGAAGCACTCCCATTTGCATGATGACTTAGATTAATGTGATATGCTTGCTGATTTTGAGACCGCACTCGCCATAACGAGTGCGGGTACTAACGATGCTTTTGAGCGTTGTATTTTGTTAGGGGAGCAGGCATCACAGGAGCCGTAGCTGGAGGAGCAGTTGGCCGCGCTGGAGAGTGGCGCTTTAATAGTGGGAGATAGGTTGTTCAAACCGATCTCATCCTCACCTCGCATCACTAGCTCCTTGGAGGAGCCACCAGAACTGGAGCTCAAGCCCCTCCCTCCTCACTTGGAGTATACATTTCTCTGGGAGGGGAATAAGCTTCCAGTCATCATTAGCTCGACCCTCACACCCGAGCAGAAGGTCAGACTGGTGGCCTTGCTGAAGCAGTACGAGCGAGCTCTGGCATGGAAGATCCCTTATATCCGGGGGATCAGCCCCTCCTTCTGCTCCCACCGGATACTTCTAGAGGATGAGATGCAGCTAGTGCGACAGCCCCAGAGGAGACTGACACCGAACCTGGAGGTTGTGGTTCGGGTAGAGATCGTGAAGCTGATGGATGCGGGGATCATCTTTGCCATTTCCGACAGCGAGTGGGTCAATCCCAACCAGGTGGTACCCAAAAAGGGGTGGGATGACCGTGGTGCCTAACGAGAAGAACGAACTCATCCCGATGCGCACAGTGACTGGGTACCGTGTCTGCATCGATTACCGGCGTCTCAATAATGCTACTCGGAAGGACCACTTTCCTCTGCCATTCATTGATCAGATGCTGGAGAGACTGGCGGGGCACGAGTTCTATTGTTTCCTGGATGGGATGTCCGTTTATTTTCAGATCCCCATTGCACCGGAGGACCAGGTGAAGACCACTTTCACCTGACCCTTCGGCACATTTGCCTACGGAGGATCCTATTCGGGCTGTGTAATGCCCCTACCACTTTTCAGCGATGCATGCTCGCCATCTTTGACCGCCTGATCGGCGAGATTATGGAGGTATTTATGGATGACTTTTCGGTTTATGATGACTCATTCTCCCGAGATCAGCGATAGCAAATCTCAATTGACACATTCTATTAGTGATGATTTGACATGTTTAGACAAGTTAGGCTTCAGTTTGATTGTCATGCGAGTTAATTGGATCGCAATTTCTAAATAATAAAATATAAGACATGACAATTTTATTAAGATAAATACAATGCTAAATACTAAAATCATTATTACAATCCATAATAATTACAATGTTAATTTGCTATTACATTCTAATTACAATTGTACAATAGAAGAAATTGGGCTCACATAGAAGCCCAAACCGTAGTCAACTCTGGTAAATGCAAGTCAACAGGCCTAAGTTGGGTCAAGCCCATATCACAGTCAACCAAACCCAAAAATCCAAGCCCAGTCGTACTCGGGCCAGATCCAATCCCGGTCGAACCGGACTGGTTCAACCAGGCACAAGCCCAGCCCAATCCTCAACCAATCACAAAATACAACTAACCTACCCTACTAGCCAATCAAAAAAATACACTTACCCCCTACCCCTAACAACCAATAAGAACAGTGCACAACCGTTAACTACTGTAGAGCTACAGTATAACTCCCTGCTATAAAAGAGAGGCCTTGTAGGCCAAGAAAAAGGGGGGGAGTTCTTTCTTCGGCTTCACCGCACTTTGCTTCCCCTTCTTAAAAAGCCACGACTTCTTCATCTTCTACTTCTTCTTCTTGGCACTCCCCTCTTCCTTTCCTGACCAAACAAACATAAAAGAGCAATCAAAACCAACAAAAATAAACTCTGCAAAATCAGACTTTACTCTTTCCTTCTTCATACATAACAAAAGGCTACTTCCTCACTTCTTCTTCATCTTCTTTCTCCCCAAGTTTCCTGTCCTCGTTTCTTCTTCTCCCTTTCCGAAAGACAACAAAGAAACCACAACTCCCTTTCCTCTTCCCCGCATAAACAAACACACACAAACAGAAGCCAAAAAGAAATCCAAAAGAAACAACAACAAAAAAACCTCACCACAAACATCCTCCCCTGCCACCAACATCAGCAAAAGCACAAAGGAGATATCAGACAAAGAAGCTCAGAGAATCAAGGAGAGGCAGAATCATCACCCAAACAACAGAAAAAGTCAAAAGGTTGGTAGCAAAGTAAATTCCAAACCATCATCTTTATCATTCATCATCTTAAATCATCTTATTAAGTTCTTTTCAAAACCAAACTCAATCAACCCCAATTCAAATTACAATCTTACCCAAATAAAACTCCAAAAGCAATCAAGCCCAATCGATTTTCAAAGCAAATTACAAGTCGGCAATTCTCACTATAATAACAAAAGCAATTAACAAATCAGATATATTGCTTTTCCTTATGGGTTCATTATATTTACTTTCCTATTTATCTCAGTACTTTCATTTAAATATTTCATGTTTAAGCGTACTATACTACTAGATCTTTAAATCTATATTTGTTCATCATTTACTATTTTTTGGCCGTTCTGCTTATTTTTGTATGTTTGTTATTATATGTTGGACTATACACCTAACCATCACTAAGCTAAATTCCCCAGTTATTCACCATACACACAACAAATTTCCAATTTCAAAACCGCCATATTAACCCCAAGACAAACCTTTCGAAACCCACCTAATCAAATGATCACATCAGAGTTTTCAAACCAAGAAACATAAACCCTGAAAATTTACCCCAAATACCAGTCAAATTTCCAAAATCAAATTCACCCATAAAACCCACAAAAAAGACAGATTTGAGCTCGACCACCCCTCAAGTCATCAGTTACCAAAACTCATCAATCACCACCAACCGATTCTCAGAATCAAACTCAACATGAGCACCGCCAAATTTCTAGACTTAAACCCACCATGAACACCCACAGAATGTCCAACCACAATCCAATTTTATAATTAGTAACCACAAACGAACCCAATTCCCCAATTCATAGCCGAAATCAGACCCAAGATCCCTTAATCCCAAAAATATCTTACGTAAATAAGTTACCCTTTGTTTGTCATCACTGTCGCCGCGGCAAAGCTCATACCTGCCGGCAGTGGCGACCTTGCTCTTCCCTTTCTGCTGCTTCTTTGCTCTTTCCCCTTGTCCGCCATCCATATCTGATCCCTTTCCTTTTCCAAGCTCGAAACCCAGAAATCAAATGAACCATATCATCAGAAGCCTAAGTAGCCCCAAAACCCCCCAAAAAATGAGAATCAAATTTAAATGGGAAGACCTACCTCACTCTTCCGCCGATAGCCTTGCTGGCGTCGTCGACGGTACGGCCTACTGCTCACCTCCACTCGATTCAGCCTGAAACTTCCCAAAAAAAAACACCACAAGAACAAAACCGAATCAAAATCTCCTCGCCCAGAATCGAACCTCACTCCAAATAAAAAACTAAATCATCATGCAAGCCAAAAAAAGACCTTACCTTCGTCCCCGTCATCATCAACCGTCGGCGGCTCTCCTTGCTCGCCGTCGCTTGAATCTCTTTTCCTTTTCCTCGTCTCCATCAGAACTTAAGAGAGAGAGGGAGGTGATGGGGATTCATTTTTTAGGTTTTGTTCGATTTGGGAGACTGTAAGTCAGTTTTGAGAGGGGAAAGAAGAAGGTTGGGGGCGATTGAAAGAGCTAGGGTTTTGCAATATTTTTTTGCTAGCTCGTGTTTTTGGGGAAGAAGAAGAGGTGAACAGGCGAGAGAAAAACGAGGGGGGAGAGTGAAGTGAGAGGCGGCCGATCGATTAGATTGGTTTAGGGTTAAGATTTTTGTTGTTAAAAACGAATATATACACAAACAGGCTAAATAACAGTTTTACCCCTAGGGTTTTACAGGTTTTACGTGGCCTTGCCACCTCGTTTTTAGTCATTTACAAAAATACCCTCGTTTTGATTTCTGCTAAAAAACGAAATTGGCTAAAAACAACTCCTAGGTTTCGAACCAGAGACCAAAGCCTCGTTAATGGCCACAATCAGACGTTTAACCAGTAGGTTAATCATTAATTACATGTATACATATTAACTACTCATAATTTATAAACATTAAACCCTCGATATACAAAACTTAAATCAACAGGATAAGTCCTCTAATTTATCTCACTTTAAGTTTTTTTCTAAAAAAACTATTGAAAGATGATTGATCACCATTTTACTTTGTATGGAGATCCTTCAAGGGAGACTCAATCGAGTTGGTTTTCCTTCCACTTTCTAAGCCACCTAAACTAGGTTGAGTTAGGGCACCCTCAATATTGAATTAAAAAAGTCGATTAATTGTGGTTAAACCGTCCAACCTTAGAGTTGAGTGAGGGAGTAAGTCGATTACCGATTGTCTAAACCGAGAGGGTCGAGTGACACGGCCTTTCATCCTCACCTTGGTTTAGCAATTGAGACTGTGGTCTCCGATCATATACGCTTTCCTCTACGGTTCACGATTTACGTACCCAAGGCAATCGTTCCAATCCACGTAGCATGGTAGCAGTTAAGGGGAAGCGAAACCCGAGTGACTTTCCCACAAAGGAATTTTCAAACCAAATTACCTTTGCTTTCTATCATTTCAATTAGCAAGCCTTTAAACCAAAGTTTTATCTCTAGATAATGATTTCAACAACCGAAGTAGGGGTAGACGGACCGCCCCGGGTCGATATCTAAATAATTGCCCTATACTGCACCCGATTAGGGTTTAAAAACTTGGGCTCTAATTGGGGTTTAATTGTGATGTAGTTTCGTGTGAGTCGTGATGTTGGATGCTCTTGACCTTGAATACTCATAGAGAGTATGTGGAATGGCCACTTGTCTTTGTCCTTCTCCAACCATTGTTGGTGTTGAAGAAGTTGAAGAAGCTCCTTTTTCTTCCGAATCAAAGTTGTCTTCATCATCCATGTCCTCCTCTTTCAAGTGTTGTGCGAAATTGGTGGGGCTTGAGGGCTCTTCTTCTCCTCAGCTCGATGCTCCTTACTTCGTCTTGCACAATCTTTAGGTTTTGGTTTTTCTTCTAGTACTTACTTGACTCATTGACTCGTCCCGAATATCACAACAAAAATTCCAATTAAGTCCCAAATATAAACCATAACCAGGTGCAATATAGGACAAGTATGTTTAAATATCAACCCGGGCCGGACCATGTATCCCTACTTCGATTGTTTGAAACATTATCTAGGAATTAGTTTTTTGGTGAAAACAACGATCTATAACTAGAACGTTTGGAAAAGTAAATGGATTGGACACTAATTGATAATGCTTCACCCTAGCTAACAATAATGACTTGTCAGATCGAATTCATAGGTGTGGTAAAGGCGGTTGTAATCGTTGGGAAGTGCATCTTGTGAAAAAACGCCACTCTCTTGGTCAATAGGTCAAGGGAATCCAATCCAAGCTAAAACGCCACTCTCTTGGTCAATAGGTCAAGGGAATCCAATCCAAGCTAACAAAGTAGCTCTCTTTACCTATCAACCAAGGGATGCCTTGACTTCACCCTCGAATCTGACCGTTTTCACTTACTCTATCCACAGTCTGTGGCTTGAGTTCACGGTCTTACGACCGTGAATTGACTGGGATCCAGTCAGGTGTGCATTTTGCTTCTAGACTCTTTGGTGCTTCACGGTCTGGGGCTTTGGTCCACGGTCTTGCGACCGTAAACTGGTTGGACTCCAGTGAGGTGTGCATTTTGCTTCTGGAACTACAGCGCTTCACTGTCTGGGCACCCTTTTCACGGTCTATAATACCGTGAAAACTCATCATCCGCCCTGATCCTCAGTTGCTTCCACCCTTTGACTCATTTTTGCTCCTTTTCGTCCCACTTTTGCTTCCGAGGTCATTTTCACCTGCTAGGATCTGGAACATAATAAAACAAAGTGCAACCTAGCGTAAAACCACACCTCACGCAGTACAAATGCATCAAACGTCTAAGTAAATGGGGATAAAATGTGTACAATTGGACCCGAATCACTCATGCAAAATTCTGGGGGGGGGGGAACTTAAACTAAAGAAAGACACAAGATGGTTAGAAAATTTTATATATGATTAGAAATCCCCCGATAACGACGCCAAAAACTTGATGTGAAAACAAGTGATAAAATCGTAGGATGTCTAGGGTCGTATTCCTTGAGGTCTTCTAATGCATAACTACTCACACTAACCATCCATGACAAACGAAATATGAAAGACTACTTGGGGATCTCATTCAAGTAGCAAACAAGGAAAAGTAAAGCAAGAAGAGTACAGTTGTTTAAGAGTTTTTTTATTTATAGATGCAGAAAAGTAAACTGTAGAAGAGCGCAAGCTTGAACTCTTTCATGCATGCTAGGGCTCATTCACAAGATGCATCGATGATTCATCTATTTTATCCAACTTTCCCTTCCACTCAAGTCATTCTCTACCCGTGCATGCGCTTCTTGCAATAGAGATATAACTAACTAATGCGTGCTTTCGCTTCATGCCATCACCTGATGGTCTAGAGCTTTGATGATCTAACAATTAAGCATTGATACTACTCGAGGTATATATGGTTGATCATTCCCTCTATACTCGTGTAGCATCAATGGGGTATCACTAGAGGGTAATTTATTATCAATCTATGTAATACTAAGCATCATACATATAGTAGCATATAATATAATCACAAGAATCGATGATAAAGAAGCATTCATACTATATAAACATCAATGACCATCACATAAGCATCATAAGTAAAGCATCCATACATAGGCAATAGGCATCGAGATTCACATAGACAAATACAAGCATGAGATGAAATTATTGCATTCACTCACATAACAATAAACAAGTTCACATCTTCGTACAATCAATTTTGACTAGCTACATAGAAGAGATGTAAGGTACCACCATTGATGATTACAACATCTCCTTAGCTGCAGACTCTCCTACCAAAACTAAGCTATCACTCACATAGAGTTTATAGAGAAATTATGTATTTGTGCATCCTCACTAAGCTAATGAGCCATGCCCTCTATTTATAGGGGAAGAACTCGAACAAAAACGTCCTAAACCGACCAAGAAAGAGTCCCCTAAACCTTGTGGGTTAAGTAAACTTCTCCCGCAAGGATTAGGGTTTGGCGGCGGTTGGAACTGTTGCCCTTTTTCTTTATTGGCTGGACTCCTTTGGGGCGTCTGGATGTATCCTTCATAGTGGCGGTTGGGCCCAATGTTGGGCGCTACTCGTTATTTCTTCAGTTTGGACCAAGTCTTCCTCTTATGGGCTTGTCTTGAGTTTATTAAACAACTTCTAGTTGAAGGCTCATTGATCAAGTCGTCGTGATTTAGATAGGAAATACTAGTTTATCAAAACCATTAAAAAACACTCAAAAGGCATCAAAGGGTACACGAACATATCCTAGGTCTATTAAAAGCTCATTGATTGTGATTTAGATAGGAAATTCTATTTAAGTGACTAAAGATGCCTTGATATAAGGGACAATGTATTAAAAATGGGAGTGAAAAATAATATAAAAATTGTCATCAATGCTAGTGTGGAGAAATACAAAGCTAGACTAGTAGCTAAGGGGTATAATTAAATCCCGAGAGTTGATTACCGAGATACGTTTTCTCTTGTTTTAGACATATTTAGTAAATACTCCGTTTAATACACGTATATGTACACGTACGTACTTTATCCGTTTAAAACTTTCGTATCCGTATTATTGTCAAGGCGTTTCATTTGTTTCCGTTCATTTGATGGCTCCCATACTAAATACGTATAAAATCCGTATAACGTGTTTAATATCCGTATTTAATAAATTAAATTATTAACTTTACTATGTTTATATATTTATTTATTTTTAAAAATAATTAATTTTATATATTTATGACTATTAACGTACTATTAAACATAACATTAGCTTAGAGATAAAGTAAAATGTCCGTACGTATTTTATACGTAACTTTCCCGCATTTTACTAACTATGGTTTTAGATGACAATTGTAAGAATCATGTTAGCATTAGGTTCATTAATAACTGGCTCCTTGAATAGTTAGATATTAACACAACCTTTTTACATGGAGATTAAAAGAAATACGTGTATATGGTTAAACTTCTTGGTTTAGTTACTCATCCAGTTGATGCTTATAAGGTTTGCAAACTAGTAAATCATTGTATGGCTTAAAGCAAGCAAGTAGGCAGTAGTTTGCGAAACTTTCAGCCACATTGGAAAGTCTGGGATACCCCAAATCACATTGTGACTACTCCCTCTTCACTATAACATCAAGATCCTTCTATACTACATTGTTAATATATGTCGTTGACATCATTTTGACATGCAACTATTTCCCAGAAATCCAAATGGTTAAGCAACATCTTGATTCAGCATTTACCATTAAGTACTTCTTTGACATGGAAGTTTCTCAAACTAAACAAGGCATTCACCTATGCCAAAGAAAATAAACCTCTCATCTGTTATGAGCCACCAGATTCATAGCTAGTAAACCTACCACTACTTCTTCTACACCAGGTTCACATCTCCCTAGTCAAGATGGCACTCCTCTATATGGCATAACACTTCCC